TTTTTATAGTTCAAAATTTTATTTTACTTGTCTTTACTACACTTCTATCTGGAAGAGTTATTATATAACGCACGTTCTGGATGATGTGAGTGATTAGCCAATGTAACGGTCTGTTACAGCGAGTCTTTGGCGTGAGTTGCACGGATCGGTGGGTAACCACTAAAAACATCAACGCTGATTGATTAATCAAATGTCTGACGTCATAGGGTCAAAAACTACTAGTATGACCTCTGACGCGACCTCCCACTACAACTGGCCAGATCTTCATATAGTAGAGGCTATCGAAAGTATAAAAAAAACGAAATATAAAATATCGATCTGTATTTTAATCAGATTGTCCGGTTTCCTCCCTCTGCTAAAGACCCCTACGCGCAAGCGGATTATTGAAATAAAATTGAACCATGTGTTAGTCCCGAAATGACCTAGTTTGTGTCGAGTGGACGTTAAACTCTCTCTCTCTCTCTCTCTCTCTCTCTCTCACTCTCTCACGCTATAACTCTATAACTAAATAAACACACTCCAATATAATTTAACAAATAAATTAATATTTCAGATTTCCCCAGAAAGCGACCAATAGAAAGACTTCGATATGGTGGTGTAAACTACCCACGCCCCCAACCGGGCTATTTAGACACGTGTCCTGAAATCAGTGAAGGGTATTCAACATTGTCAGGGGGAGACGATCCAACCCCTATAATGCCCCAAACAAATTTTACTAAACACGAATTAAACCAGGTACATACACAACACTTTCTTCTTTTACGTTGGTGCCACGATGGCTCTGTCAGTATGGAAGTCATGGATTTAATCCTCGGGATTTGGGAGCCGCAGTGATTAAGTGGGTAAGACGCTGGCTGGCTAGCCTAGAGGTCGCGGGTTCGCTCCCGGTGTTGGCCGAGAATGTTCATCGCGATTTTCCGGCGTGTTTTCTCCTTGTCAGTGTTGTAGGACGCAGGGCCTGACAAGAATAGCTGTCTAGTCATTCGGATGGAAACGAAAACCGAGGTCCCATGTACACATTGGCGTGCACGTAAAAGATCCCTTGGCAGTTGGAATTCAATATAAGTGTAGGCCTTAGTGCCGCTGTACGGGCGAAATTTCCCTCATAGCACCCTGCATGGCATATGCCCGTCTTCATTAGTCCAGTAGGACGTTAAACCCCATTTCATTTCATTTCATTTCCTCGGGATTTTCGAGTGTGGTTTTCCCGTGTCAGTTTTGCAGGCCTAGTCACGATAATGAAATAAAAACCGAGTTCCGTATAATATACTCTTGCATGAGCAAATTAAAAATACCATGTCACAATTCAAAATAAAGATCTCTGGTTCGTTCATCGAGATTGTCCAATTTTAAAATGCAAGACTTAACATGTAGTAATATTCTGTGGTGTATTTTAAATAATAATTTTCAGGAGTTTTTCCGACCAGCGTTGACGAGAGGCTTCAGTGGGGTCAGTGCTGCTACATATTCTGATCGAAGTGGATCACTGAATTCTGATGACCTGTCGGTGTTTACCGGTTTACCACGACCAAAATTCAGACCGTTCACGTGATGGGGGACATAACTCTCACTTACATTTGTGATATCGACTGGTGTTTTTTGACTTGAACTACCACTTGTGATATGGACTGGCGTTTTGTGACTGAAACAACCATTATATGGACTGGCGTTTTGTGACTGGAACAATCAGTTGTAGGCTAATATCCACTGGTGTTTTGTGTCTGCCATTTGTGATATCGACAGGCGTTTTGTGACGCGAACTTCCACGTGTGATACGGATTTGCGTTTTGTGACTCGAACTTCCATTTGTGATATGGACTGGTGTTTTATGACCCGAACTTCCATTTGTGATAATTACTGACGTTTTATGACTCGAACTTCCATTTGTGAAATGGACTGGCGTTTTGTGATATAACAACTTCGTTAAGGCCTTCCAACTAGCTGGAGAACAAAATACAACAAACCAAAAGAGATTGCCAGAATTATAGAGAAGACATGTTACCGATGGTATAATGGGGCCATTACTGCTCCCCTTTACGTGATATCTCCCACGTGACTTGTTGCCGATGATGTAATTTGTGAACAACGCCACTCCCCTTCACACGATATCTACCACGTGACTTGTGAAACGTACACAAACCTGATTCATGTGATTTGTGACACGATGTTACTATGTTCTATGTGACTTGTAAAACCACGTTACTGTTAGATGTGACATGCGGAATGTATGTTACTATGCTCCATGTGATTTGCGAAATGTATGTTACTATACTCCATGTGACTTGACTTACGAAATGTATGTCGCTATGTTCCATGTGACATGTGAAATGTATGTCGCCATGTTCCATGTGACTTGTGAAACGTATGCTACGATGTTCCATGTGACTTGCGAATGTATGTTACTATCTTCCATGTGACATGTGAAATGTGTGTGGCTATGTTCAACGTGACTTGTGAAATGTATGTCGCTATGTTCTATGTGACTTGTGAAATGTATGTCGCTATGTTCTATGTGACTTGTGAAATGTATGTCGCTATGTTCCATGTGACTTGCGAATGTATGTTACTATCTTCCATGTGACATGTGAAATGTATGTCACTATGTTCAACGTGACTTGTAAGATGTGTGTTACTATTGTTCCATGTACATATTATTATTATCTAAAAAGTGCAATTATTACCATGCTTACATAATATCACTTTACTTTAAATACAATACAATTGTTGCAATTTATATTTAGTGTTGATTAAGACGGAGAGAGAGAGAGAGAGAGAGAGGGGAGAGAGAGAGAGAGTCATTTCGGCACTAACACATGATTCAATTTTACTTCAATAATTCGGTTGCACGTAGGGGTCTTTAGCAGTTGGAGGAAGCCGGGGGACCCGGAGCCGGAGAGTTTTGTATTAACAATCTGTCTGTACCTAGGGGTCTTTAGCAGTGGTGCAAAACTTGGGAAAATCCACGAGGTTAGGCATGTGATCCTACCTCTTGTCACGTAACTCAATGGCAGACATTACCATTTAGTGGCTGTGTGTCGCTAATACTAGGTTTCCACTGTTGTCCGATGCGTTAGGATAGGATTGTTCCTATTGAATCCACGATCTGGTACGTGCAGATACGTTCGGATACGTTTCGATACGATCAACACGATTGCTACGACTGACCTCAATATTTGATAAGACTTGATAGGATCACCACGATTACTCCACGATTAAAATCACAATTTCAATCGTAGCGCGAATCGTGACAGTGGGTACCTAGCATTAACAAGACAATGCAAATGAAATGAAATGGGGTTTAACGTCCTATGAGGGAAATTTTGCCCGGACAGCGGCACTACGGCCTACTCTTATATCGAATACCAACTGCAAGGGGATCTTTTACGTGCATTCCAATATATATACGGGTTCTCGGTTTTTCGTATCATCCGAAGGACTAGACAGCTGTCCTTATCAGACCCTCCGTCCTGCATCACTGACAAAGGGGGGGGGGGGACTTTCTCAGCCAATGCAGGGATCGAACACCCGACCTCCAGGCTAGCGAGCTAGCGTCTTACCCACTTAGCCACTTAGCCACGTGATCCCCTCAAAACAATGCAATAATGGATGCATACCATGTTGCCATAACGCAATGAATTATTAGTGTTTCTATAAAGCCTACTTTACAATACAATACAATAATAGATGCATAACCATATAAAAAATGGCGGAATGGAACGAAATTATCATAAAACAATAGAACCTCTTGTACAATGTATTCAGGTGGCACTTTATAATACAATACAATTATAGAAAATGCACAATATGAAAATCAACGCTTTCTTTTAAAACGCAATAAACCTCCTCTCTTCCAAAACCATTTATTTAATACAATAGTACTACAAAAGCTTGTGAACATTTTAAATGTCTTTTGAAGCGTGGATAGATTTCCCCTAGGGACAGTACTTCTCTTTAGCAAAAAAAACAAACAAAAGAAGGTTCTCTGGAATACTGGATAAATAAGTACTACAAAAGCTTGTGAACTTTTTAAATGTCTTTGAAGCGTGGATAGATTATTGTTCTACACATGACCATCAGAGCGAGAAGAAAATATCTTACAAAAACATTTTTCATATTTCATCAATAATAAAAAATGAAATGAAATGAGGTTTAACATCCTACTGTTCTGCTCCGACTGGGTTGATGAAGATGGACAGCGGCACTATGGTCTACTCTTATATCGAATTCCAACTGCCGAGGGATCTTTTACGTGCACGCCAATGTATACACGTGACCTTGGGTTTCGTTTCATCCGAATAACTAGACAGATTTCCTTGTCAGGCCCTGCGTCCCGATGAACTTTCTCGGCCAATGTAAAGATCGAACACGCGACCCCCTTATCAATAATATACTGTTAGGTCGATTAGAACGCCCACTGTGGGTATTATATGTCCAGGTGGTGGGATGAGATATAAAAGTGGGATTTACATCTCGCCACAATAATTTAGTCTTATTATTACTGTTGTCACGTGTGCAATGGTAAGAACAGTAGTGTTACCCGTTTTCCCATACGCTTCCCCGAATTCCTGCAACAGTCATTTGTGTGTATCTGTTTGGGGTGGGGGGTCTCATGACCGCGATGCTTTAGGATCCGACCAGTCATAACCACGATGCTTCACATCAGCTTTGAAAAGCGAGACAGCTGGGTTGGGGAGGAGGGGTGGGTGCTAGTAGTGGTCGACCTCACTTGATCGCAATGCCTACAGTCAAATTTGAAAAAATAATCGTTAAAAAAATGTAGTCTCTATGGTATTTACAAGGTTGTTGGCACAGGTGTGTGTGTGTGTGTGGGGGGGGGGGACTCTGGAACAGAAAGTGTTGAAATCAGTTCGAGTCGGCACCCTTTTAACGTTTTTATCATTTACCGTGAAACAAAGCGGTGTATCTTTACGGCTGTGCTAATATGTTTGGATATATGTACCTACACCTGAAAATTAAAATATTGAAGAAAGAAACACAGTATTATGCGGCTAGCCCTTTCAGTTCCATTGGAACATCATCCGGCCTTTAATATATGAAGAGCTCCGGGGAAGAACGATCTAAGTCACGTTTTCAAGAAACCCCAGTTAATGGCGCCATCTGGTAGCAAAATGTATAAGCTTTCTGTGGAACAATCTATTTCACTCGGGTAAAAACGATCAGTCACATCGAACCAGGGCCCTTCTGAGATGGCCTCCCTACTAATACGTCCATCGTACCCTTTATTTGACCATAATTGTGTTGAAAAGTGGAAGTCAGTTGTTAAACTGGTAATTATGGTTCATATTAAACATCATTTGAAGTTGTAATTAAACCCACGCGTTGTTTTGTTCGCGTCAAGCATTCTCGTCCAAAACTTAGATCGTTCTTCCCCTGGACTCTTCATTTACTTTTCGAGGCCTAAAAAGAAAACCACGCACATCTATATGGGTATCTCACACAGGAAACCGTTGACGCGATCACACATTACGTCACCAAATCCCCCAACTGGGTTATGTGTCAATACTGTACTACAATGCTCTCCGGCACCATGAGGTTCACCTGTACGCCAATAAAATGCAGTAGAGCCATCCAACCATTCCCATGTTCCTTCTACGTATAAATCAGTTCCACCAAAATACGTCAAGCGACTGTACACTATAATAAAAAAATAACACAAAGTAGGCGGAAATCGTCGTGTTCAGAGCCAAGATACAAGACAGAGAGGCGACCATACTATCCCTTCCATCTACTGGTATAAGATACTAATATACTGTAATGGACGCCCCCTCCATATTCTTTTCACATAACCCTAACCTGTGCACTTGGTGAATGACCGTGTGCCTGCCTACTCCTTGTCACGTACAGTCGGGGTTTCGAAACCACGACAGTTGACACAATTACAGACCTTATAATAGAATTCTCATTGAAATAAATACGAAATATTATCGCATAATTAAGTAATTTTATAAAACTTTTTTTTTATACCAGAATAAGCATACTTCAAAATTGTAAAAAAAACCCCAGTCCGGTAACGATCTTCGTTGTCCAATCTTCACTAGTTGTAATAAAATTACGTATTCACATAGACGTATGTGTGTTGAGAATTATGCGCTTTATGTGAGGATAGTGCAATAAATTATTCCTCGACACTGGCTAGTGGTTAGTGCTAAATGATAAGGTCAGCTCAATGTTTCGTCATAGGTCACAAGATGTAAACAGGGCTAGCACTAATCCTAACCCTGGACCTAGCCCCAATGCTTACCTTAACCCTAACCCTGGACCTAGCCCCAATGCTTACCCTAACCCTAACCTACAATATCGCCAACAATCACGTGCCCTAGCCTTATTTATATCTATATAAATAGATTTAGCCCTTGCTATTTCCATAAACGTAACATTTTCAACCCTAACCCTAACCCTAGTCACCTTACAAAACAAATTTGATCATTAAAACAAAATATGAAACCTGTTAAATTCTGGACAAAATCGGACACCATTAGTAATCTGCTCTTAGAATTTCCAATAAAGAGATATCCGCCATCGTTTTCACATTGTGTCATAGCTTTGTTCCATATCGCCGCGTCAGTGGCATCAATATAGGCCTTGAAACATATATTGTAGGTTGTATTCAAAATGTATTCTGATGGACAGCGGTCTGAAATATTAATGTTGATCTTGAAACATTGGGCTAATTCACTCGGAAGTGTTATGGTCAACTTATAGTTTTGTTTACGTGTTCTATTTTAGATGAAATGAAATGGGGTTTAACGTCCAACTGGGCTAAGGAAGACGGGCCTACGCCATACAGTGTATTATAGTGGATATTTTGCCCGGCCAGCGGCACAATGACCTACCTATCGAATTCCAACTGCCAAGGGATCGTTCAAGTGCATGCCAATATATACACGTACATGTCAATGTATACGTGCCATCCAAACGACTAAATAGCTGTCCTTGTCAGGCCCTCCATCCTGCACGACTGACAGGGAAAATCCCGGTGAACTTTCTCGGCTAATGCAGGGATCGAACACGCGACCTCCAGACTAGCGAGCCAGCATCTTACCACCTAGCCACCGTGGCTCCCTATTTTAGGTCTTAAAGATATATTATATCCGACCGTTCTTGCTTTAATGGTTTAAAAATAGATAATACAAATTGAATATATCTAAAATTTCAGTCCAATTGCTTTTTTTCTGAGCGAAGTTATGTGTTTGAATTTTTGACAAGATAGCGTCGATTATCAAGTACCATTGTTACGATAATAAACAAAGTCTCGATTTATTAGAGTTCTAATCGATTTAATTTTTAAACTATCCGATGTTCTAGAGAGGTTAAGACCAATTAGGGGTTAGAGCTAGAGGCATTTTTGAATACAGAAAAATTGTCTGTAAGCACAAATATCATTTCTTAAAGCTCAATTTGTGATCACTATTTCATACATATTTTCTGCCATACTTCTAGAAAAATATGAACGAAATGAAGGAATCGGTATAAGTTAGTGCTTGGTTAACACAATGGAGACACAGATGTCCAAGTTATGGAATAAATGTTCTAAATACCCTATGTTACTTAGTTTGTATATAAAGGGAATTACCTGCTAACCGCCAATACGTCACCAAGCCTTCTCTATTAACCGCAGGTGTCTGTCCTGCCCAAACTCTCTTCCGATACAAATAACATTCCCTGGGGTTCGTCTTGGGTTGATAAGAAAAGGAATCACAATTGGGCGTTCTGGCACATTGTTCTCCACAATCTTGAACTGATAAATTCAGAAGCTGACTTAAATAATTACTCACAAGACGGTTTTTAAACGGAATCATCTTAAATGCTCTGGTACACTGACTAGAAACTCCAAACATATGTAAATGTACCATGAAAACCATTACATGTATGATGAACATTGTTAGTGGGATTACTTCGACCTCTGTTTACCAATGACACAAACGTGTTTCGTTCATTGGAGAAATGAAATCTAAATATTGTGAAGTATTGCTCGTCACCCGATGGCTAAGTTCTTTCTCAAATCTGGAATAAATTGATGTATAGCTTCAATACATCAAAAAGGTGACGGAGTTCAATCATAAACATCTCCGCTCAGGCTAAGTATAGCTGAGCAGTTTGATTGCTCTCCACGCTTAATCAATAATTATACGGTTCTAATCCTCTCAGTATTAGTAATATCCTAAAAAAAAATCACACGTTAAGAAATCACAATAATAGAGATCGACAATCCAATAGTAATATCCTCAATAAGCACACGCAATATTAGTAATATCCTAAAAAAAATCACAACTTAAGAAATCACAATATTAGAGATCGACAATCCAATAGTAATATCCTCAATAAGCACACGCAATATTAGTAATATCCTAAAAAAAATCACAACTTAAGAAATCACAATATTAGAGATCGACAATCCATTAGTAATATCCTCAATATGCACACGCAATATTAGTAATATCCTAAAAAAAATCACAACTTAAGAAATCATAATATTAGAGATCGACAATCCATTAGTAATATCCTCAATATGCACACGCAATATTAGTAATATCCTAACAAAATCAAACCTTAATAAATCACAGTGTTAGAGATCGACAATCCATTAGTAATATCCTCAATAAGCACACGCAATATTAGTAATATCCTAAAAAAAATCACACGTTAAGAAATCACAATATTAGAGATCGACAATCCATATGTAATATCCTCAATATGCACACGCAATATTAGTAATATCCTAACAAAATCACACGTTAATAAATCAAAATATTAGAGATCTACAATCCATTAGTAATATCCTCAATATGCACACGCAATATTAGTAATATCCTAACAAAATCAAACCTTAATAAATCACAGTGTTAGAGATCGACAATCCATTAGTAATATCATCTATAAGCACACGCAATATTAGTAATATCCTAACAAAATCACACATTAATAAATCAAAATATTAGAGATCTACAATCCAATAATAATATCCTCAGTAAGCACACGCAATAATCCAGCAATAATAGTAATATATTCAATAATAAATAATAATCCCACACTAACCACACGAAGGTAATCCTGCAATATTAGGAACATTTAATCTTAACCACACGGAGGAAATCCTGAAATATTCAAAATCACCAGTAATATCATTAATAACCACACGAGGAATATATGATAGTATTATTTAATATTACCAATAACCACGTCGATATAATCCTGAGATATTAGTAATATTTATTTTATGATCAGTAGTGGAATACCGCATTTTATCACTGAAATAAAAGTGTTATTCCACTGGCTAGTTGTTTTTACCTACAATGATTGTAAAATCATAAAATAAATAGAACATTTGTCGTTTTGTCGTGAAAAACATATTTTATTCCATCTCTAAGCAAGAAAACGTTTATATTTTCACTCATGCTACGCATTCGTGAAAATATAAGTTTTCTTGCTTCTCGATGAAATAAAATACGTTATTCACTCTAAAACGACAAATATCCTCTATTTATTCTCATCAAAAACCAAACGGAAGTAATTGTGCAATATTAGTAATATTCAATACCATTAAAATATACATGGAGGAAATCTTTCAATAATTATTAATAACATTATTCAATATTACCAATAACCACATGGAAGTAATCCTAAAATATTAGATATATCTAATCTCATCAACAACCACACGAGAGTAATCCTGTAATAATAGTATCAATTTCCACACGGCAGTAATCCTGTAATAGTAGTATCACTAACCACACGGGAACAATCCTGTAATAATATTATCACTAATCACACGGAAGTAATTCTGTAATATTCAATATCCACACGAAAGTAATCCTGCAATATAAGTATCAATAACCAAACGGGAGTAATCATGCAATATTAAAATCAATGTGGAATAAATCATGAAGTACTAGTTATATTGAATAACCATAGAGAGAATAGTAGTATTCAATATCATTAATAACCACACGGTAAAAATCACATAATAATCAGAGGGTATCTTCCTACTTACCTTTAAAACAGTGTTAGTATTGATGTCACATTAATAACCATGTTAGTGATCCGCAGTATACCATTGGTTATGCATTGTTATAATAACGCCATTATTAGTAATCGGGTGCTTAATATTAGTTAGTGATCCAGTAGCCGCGAGAACAAGTTTATTCTGAAAGAAAATCTGAGCATGACATAAATGAACTGAAGTTGTTACTCGTCGATCGCTGACTTAGTTCCCTCTCAAATCTGGATTGATAAGAGATAGACAAAAACAACACTAATAAGCCTATAATATTAAAACAGTATAAAACGATACAACAAGAATGGAACTATGTATTTTACCGTAATGAAAAGAATTCAAAGCCTCCAGTGTATTTTACCTGTAGGTTTTGCTGCTATAGTCAATCAATAAATTAAATCATAATGTAATCAGATTTGACGGCTTAAGCCCAGCGTACACGGTCGACTTTCTTGGGTAAATTGCGACCGATTTTAATTGAAATCATTTTGCTTGAAATCTCACGCGAGCTGCACCGACAACGGTTATACAATTTTGATACAATTTTGTATCTGGTTTCAAAGAATGGCTTGTCGCTCTCAGACCCCAGATCAATCGCTTTTAGTGGATTCGTTTTTATCAATTGCCAATTTTATTGGTTGCCAGTGAATCAGGACGTACATTTCTGCTTTTTAACAAAGTCTTCAATCGCGATCTAAATGTCGCATTTTTGTCATTTGGCCGTTTTGTGAATTGAGCAAAACGAACCCACCGGTTGAATTGTATACTGTAGGCGACAGCCTGCAATCTCTTTAAATGATTCCATTGTGAACAGGCAGCCAGCTAGAAACCAACGGGTTTTGTTTTTAAACCGTTCTGCTAATCGAGAGTCGTAGGGAGTATCAGGACTCAGACTAGCAATTATTTGCCCATTGACTTCAATGTTAAATGGCTGTAACATCACAGGCTGTAGCTTTTTGCTCAACATTCCGTTGGTTCCAACCTTTAGAGGCACAATGGGGACAACATTTGGCAATATCCTCATCATAAATTTGTAGAGGGTTGACCATTTAGATTTTTTGCTACGGGGATTTGATGTTGATTGGGGTGAAAATCTCACTCCCGACACAATGATTGCTCTGCAGAAAGACACTTTACACCCCCTATCCCTCCGCTGTAATATCAGTATTACCCAAAACTGCTATGAAATTGCAAATTTGATCCCTTTTCTCCAATTCTAGACAAAAAGTCAACCCAAAAATGCAGGAAGAGGGGAGAAAAAAATTAAGGGAAAAATTGTCTAATAACTCGCACTACATTTCTCATGAAATAAGGGGAAATAATTACTAGTTTTAGTCCATCAAGTAGCTTTAGTACAACTTATATTTACCTCAAACAAATGAAATGAAATGAAATGAAATGGAGTTTAACGTCCTACTGTTCTGCTCCTAACCTGGGCTAATGAAGACGGGCATACGCCATACAGTGTGCTATGAGGGAAATTTTGCCCGGACAGCGGCACTACGGCCTAGTCTTATATCGAATTCCAACTGCCAAGGGATCTTTTACGTGCACGACAATGTGTACACGGGACCTCGGTTTTTCGTCCCATCCGAACGACTAGACTGCTTTCCTTGTCAGCCCCTCCGTCCTGCATCACTGACAAGGGAGAACCACGCCGGAAAATCTGGATGAACTTTCTCGGCTAATGCAGGGATCGAACACCCGACCTCCAGGCTAGCGAGCTAGCGTCTTACCCACTTAGCCATGTGATCCCCTTACCCCAAACAATAATTAGGATATAAATAATATGGTGTTTAATGTCCGTCCTGCTTTTCAACCCCAATCGGCCTAATGAAGACAGACGGCCTCTTTGAAATAAAAATGTTCCCAGACTCTTAAAGATATGGATAACAGGCTTGCCAATCGATTATTGCACAGGTCGTTCCAATAAGGAGGCCACGTGTCACAGATCCAAAATATTCGTCCGCAAAAATTAAAGATGCATTATGTATTGTTTAATGGTCGAGAGCGAGACATTAAGTAATATATTGTAACAAAGGGGAGTAAATGCGGAACGAGGGTAACTCAAGAACGGGTTTATTACCTCATGTATCCGACGATTCACAAAAAATTGAAAGGGGTTTAATAAACAATGTAGCCCCTAATGGGTTTAAAACGTGCGCCGCTAAGTGGAAATAACTCTGGAACGAAAAGTTGCAGAACACAGCTTAAATTGTTGAAAACTGTATCCCCCGAGACGTTTACAAGGTTTTGGGAAAGGTGGGCATAACTCGGCAACGGGAGAGAGAAAGAGGGGGAAATAGTGTTTAACATCCACTAGACACAAACTACTTCATATCGGGACAAACATATGGTTTAATTTCATTTCAATAATTCGCTTGCGCGTAGGGGTCTTTAGCAGTGGAAGGAAACCGGAGGACCCGGAAAAACCCCACGAGGTTGGACAGGCGACGAAGAAAAAAGAATTGCAACACCCCCGAATGTTTATGCGCTTACTGCTGCCAATGTAGCACATAACAGATCTGCGGTGCCGCAAGGAAATCAGAAAACGCATGTTTGGGAAATGAAACATGATATTGTAGACAAGTGGAAATGAAATGGGGTTTAACGTCTTTCTGTTCTGCTGCGACTGGGTTAATGAAGACGGGCAGTGTGCTATGAGGGAAATTTTGACCGGAGAGCGGCACTACGGCCTACTCATATCGAATTCCAACTTTCACGTGCACGCCAATGTGTACACGGGCCCCTCGGTTTTTCGTA